CTATCGTTCAGTTTTCATATTATATTTTTTCTATTCCTAAAACGCGCTCAAATTTAGAAAATTAGTAAAAGAGCTATACACAATGCCATCTTTTTGATACGTAACTCATTAAAAATCATTTGACATTGGTAATTTCGTGTCTTTGTCAGTTCGTATTCTCGTGACTTTGTCAACTTGTTCAACATTATATATTAATGTATTAAAGATCGCAAAAGTCACCGGATCGTGAATATGATCTAGGCACATGTTAGAACAAGTCTGGTGATATTTAAGAGTTTAGGTATTCGCAGGCGTCGGCCAGCCCTGGCGCCTATTTACATATGGGTTTGTCATGTCGTTGTCTGATACACGGTTTTGCAATATACCGTTGGATAAAGAAGAGAGTCGTATGTGTTTTAGACAATGAAGTAAAAAAATGCTTTACTGGGTATATAAAGCACATCTGAATTCAGGTAAAAATCAAATCAAAACAAAAGTCATTTATTGGTGTCCTACACCAGCCAGTTTTACCAGTTAACCCAATTTTTTTGTATTCACATTTTTTCCCACTGTCCAGTTCAGTATACAGATTCAATTGAGAAGAACGGGCAAAAAAAGAAAAGTATCAAACTTAAGTGTCAATTTAGGATGTGATCTATCTGTATGATCGAATTTCATTTTAATCCATCCATTAATTATTGCATGAACTGGTAGTCTGTTACCGGATAATTACTGTATAATAATTTTTGGAAATAAGAGAAAGCAGCAGTAGATTAAATATTGAATTCGTTGAGTTTCGGTTGAAAGGTGGACATAACATAATAACGCACAACCACACAATGGAATTACCTTCCCGAACCAATGCGATATTGACACCTTCAAGAAAAGAGTATTCCTTATTAAAAGGCCGGCAACGCACTTGCAATTCCACTGGTGTTGCGGGTGCTCATGGGCGGCGGTAATCACTTACCATCAGGTGAGCCGCAATATATTTGTACACTATGCTCTATAAAAAAAATGGGAGTGAAATTACAATATTAGAGGCCTGATATCTTAGGCCTCCTGAATGGCTAACCACCAGCGGTTCATGCATGCGGCTCTTAACCTCAGGTGAGCCGTATGCTAAAGAAAAGGCAACGCATGTAACATGGGGGTTATATGATGATGCCCGCCGGTTCATGTATATAGGCGACGGCTACCGTTTACCACCAGGTGGCAAAATGTTTGATATTCCAATTACGTAAAAAAAAAACATCAGGTGAGCTTGTTTACCGTTCAAAATATAAAAAAGAATCTTTAGAAATACATCTTCCATACAGATAATAATTAACAAATGGGATCAGCTGTTACATTATGATTAAATAACGGTCTAATAATATCTTTGGCGTCTGTAATATTAGGATTATGTCATTTATTAAATGACTATTTATAGATAAAAGTTACACCGATTACAGCGACCGGAAAAACAACTATTCACTCGCTCTCAATCTTCTTATGTCAAATGAATCATTGTATATACACTTTATAATCTCAATGGGTCATTTTTAATGCTGTGGTTTTTACAGCTTCACCGGACGATAGGGGGCGAATGCAGATGGTACTCCAAACACGGATTGACTTGTGGAGCGGCTGAAGGCCAACTTCCGCCTGACGGATATGACTTTAGTCTTAGAGCACCACTAGGGGTTCGAACCCCGGCTCAGGCCGTCGTAATTTCGATCCTCGTTTGAATTGGACGGGGAATCGATCGGAAAGCCTGATGGGTTGGGTGTAGGTGTGATAGTTGTGGAGTAGTAATGTGGAGTATTGCCATTGCTAGCAATGTACCATGTCAGGTTGACCTGCACGTGGTTCCCTCTGGAAATCATCATGTTAAATTCATGGTGAATTTGCCACAATGTAGTAATTAATCTGACCTCATGGTCACCCTATCAATCTCTACTGGTGCCCCGCCAGCGTATACCGTTAGCGCAGGCGAGTGCACCAATCGATTATCATACCTTAAAAAAATCCCAGATGGAGGTTTGATTATGGGGATGAGGATTGTTCGTAATATGAACTAGTAACTCCATTGCGAACAATGTACTGATGGCCTCGGTGGTCTAGCGGTCTAGTATACCGCTTTCCTTCCGATAGTCACGGGTTCAATTCCTTGCACGGTGCAAACATTCGTATTTATGGGTAAGATTGTTTGTATTAGTCTGGGCATTTTTTGTATACATTTTGTATGTAAAAAATCTAAGTATTAATATCAGTTGTCTAGTACCCATAACACGAGCAATGTTTACCGTGAGAATAGATGGCGCTGTGTTAATTGTCCAGTGTTATTTATTATTATTATTGGTGCTAGCAATGGGGTTAGTTTTTATTAGTCCACATTACTAGCAACCCCCCAGTTAATAGAATTATGTAGAATAATATATAATAAACCTAAATATCTAACACATAAAGTATGCAGTTAAATAGAAAATATCTCGTCAAAAGTGGCTAAGTAGGTACGCTAGCTGGCAAGCGGGGAGCACACAACGCCGAGATGTAATTTGGAGGCATACCAGCGTAAGTGTATTCCTAAATTACTTAAGACCACGTAAAGAAGATGGCTGGCGCATTAGCATACTCTTTTGTATGTTAAAGCAATTTGCGAACGTTAAAAATAATAACTGCGCACCTACATACATATTAAAATTGGTGTTGGGAAATTTATGTAACAACTAAATTGCTGTAACGCAATATTAAGGGTTGACAATTGGCTATGACTCTGAATACTCCGTCTGTGATAATTGTCGTGAATATATCAAATCATAAGTCCTTGTTCATGTACGTCTATACAGACATGTCAAATTTATTAATCTATCTTATATATAAAATTCTCGTGTCACAGTGTTAGTTACCATACTCCTCCCAAACGACTTGATATTTTTTTTTGAAATTTAGTTGCATATTCAGTAGATCTGAGAATCGGCTTCTATCTATATTTCATACTTTTTAAGTGATAAGGGTTGTCCACTCCTAACATTATTTTTTTATTTTTTTAGTCATTAAAAATACATACAACCCTAAATTTTCACCCTTCTATCATGAACCCCTATTTTTTTATAGCGTTGTTTGTTAAACAACGTTTGCCGGAACAGGTAGTACTTATATATTAAATAGTTTTACTACTCGAGATTTTAGCTGCTTTTTTTTTTAATTTTTACATTTAAAATACGAGGATACAACGATCTTATAGACTTTGTCGATAATCGTAATATCTATTAATTTTTAACTAGCTAACCTAGTGAACGTTATTATCCTATATAAATTAATAAAGCTATTTAAAAATAGGGGTTGAAATTTTCACCATTGTTTACCAGAAAGGTGAATTTAGAGCTGTATATAAAAAAATATTTTGGACCAACCGTATCACTTAAGGGTATGAAAAATAGCCACGTCCTATTCTTAGAGCTACCAGTAGCCAATTCTCATGAAATTTTGTGTGTATATTCAGATATATACACAAAATTTCATGAGAATCGGTCAAGCCGTTTCGGAGGAGTCCCTTACAAACACTAAAATTTATATATTAGATAGTATTATTAGATCCGATAAGTTGTTTAGTCACAAATGGTAACAAACAGACAGACAAAAATATATATATTCTTATTCATAATATTAGTATGGATTCTCCTGCCCACAGCAATATGTACTAATTTAACTGTGATGTAGTATGTACTAATAACGTAATAGTAATCCTCTTAAGGGCGGACAGCCGTAACCAACAGTGGGTAGTCACGGTTTGGATTTTTATGGCTTTACGTTACAACAATGAAAGATAAAACTGCCGAGTATCAGCAATGTGCCGTGGCAGGTTGACCTCCACGTGGTTCCCCTTAGAAACCACCGGAAAACTCTAATAGTGTAAGGTAGTAAGGTAAGGATAGGTAATTCTAAGGTACAGGTTACTGAAATACAAGTTTCAAGAAAAATTAAGTAAACAGCAATAATACTACTAGTATAGGACATTATTACACAGGGCCATCTAGTCCCAAGTTAAGCAGAGCTTATTGGTACTGGATAACGGATATAAATACATAGGTACATGTTTTTTGAAAATACACACATAATATATATAAGTATATAGAAAACAATACATACGATACAACAACATACTAAACCCGCGACCATTAGAACAAAGGGGGTGCTAAGCCGCTAGATCACAGTGGTCATGTATGAGATTGTAAAAAACCTGTTAAAATTAGGATGAGATTTTATACAATCATATTGTAAAAAGAATTACTTTGGTCTATGGTTTATTGCTATTATAATTTTATTTTTTTGTGGTAAATCGGTTATCTTCTCATATCTGTAATCTGAAATGAAGATTAGCGAAGTAAATAATACAAAACAACTTGACATGTGTTAGTGACCAAAACATCGTATATGAATAAAAGCTTTTTTAATTTGAATTTATGAACTGGTTCTGAAGTACTGCCAATGGATACCGTTAGCGCAGCCGGGAGTACCATTCCACCATCATCCCTAAGGAAAAGATTAAGGTAGAATTCTAATAGTCAACGTCTACCGCTACCCAAACCACTGCCGCAATCCTCTATCTTATAATCCTAATAAATAAAAACGTTGATTAGAACCAACCACCCGTGTTAAATACGAAGGGACTTTCCATTACCACAAAATTGAATATTCATAAATGAGCCGTCATTTTTCGTAATCCCATTTCGTCGATGGGCGCGCAAATCGCTCGTGCGACAGGCGCGTTTCGTGCGATCTCTCGAATATCGGAGCCCTACAGACCGCTCCCGAAATCGTGACATCGATTAGACGCGAACGGCGTACGGTAATCGAGTAAACTCGGTTACGAAACTATAAAATATTGTGGAGTTAAGTTACGTTGGGTAGGTATTTTAGTTGGGAATTGTCCGCTCGCCGCGGTGCGATCGTACCTACGAGCCCAGTGGCACCGTCCGTCGCGACGCGCCGCACTCCGTGCGTACGTTAACAGAGCTGGCAGTGCCGCGCCGACCGCCGCGCAAATTGCACGTATATTTTGAACAGTGTCAACTGCCGCGACTCGACTCGCGCTACCTGTGCCCGTGTCCTGTGTTATACCTATAAAAAGTACGTAAACAAATCAGCATACTAACTAAGCAGTGAGTCGAGTACAGTCGCAGTGAGAGCCACGAGTGCGTATCGAGGAACGTTTGTTTGTAGCGAGCGAGTGGTAGACGGAATCTGTTGCATTCTGCAGGTGCTTGGTTCTTTATTAATTGAAAAGTGATTGTGAACGAGGCCACGGTCGCGGCACACATGTCCGGCCTAGTTTTCACGATCGCTGCCTCCGTCTTGTGAGAATTCCACAATTTGTCGTTTCTTTGTTTACGGAGACGAAGGGTGAGATGTTTTCATCTGGATGCGCCGAATCTCGCATGCACTTGTTGATTCAACTCCGGCCGAGCTCTGTCTATCGCGATTTCACTGTATCATTGACGGCGAATCCACGATAACTTTCCATTAGACGAGACAATCGATTCTGATGAAATACCAACACAATTATTATTTCTCCAATTACCCTCACTTAAAATAACATCCTTAACAATGGGAGGGCTTCTAAAAATATTGACGAAATGTCTGAGCTTGAAACCGATGAGGTTAGGCCCCGTCACGCGTAATGATTGAAAGTAAACTGTTCTTGATTAGGAACGAAGCAAATAATCTCGATCCGAATATTTCCCGTACGATTCAATAATTCAAGATATTTGCTATTTGTAATGTAGCCATTTTGCGTGAAGAAACTGAACATGGAGGCTGTAGAAAATTGGCGGCGGCATCATTAATCTAGGGATTTGTATTCATTGCTACGTTCACTGAAGGCACGTCTTATGTAGATACCGAAGCGAGTAATGTTTCGATTCATTTGGCTATACATAATATAAGAAGAATTAGTGTTTTTTAACGCTAGTAAAGTTCAAGCAAAATGGAGATTAAATACCAACCTCTATTATTCTTTATTCACCATTTTTCTATTTTAAATTTCAAATAATTATATCACGGATTTTTTAGAAATAAACGCATTTATAATATTGCGTCATAAATAGATTTTTTTTACTATCGACGTAGCTCGCAGAAAAAATAAGTGCGTTTATAGTAAACATTCCTTAATTACTCTTTCTATTACTTATGCCAAATGACTATTACGAATACAATAACATTCTATCATTGTCATTTATTGAAATATTTCAGAATATATTAAAAATTAAACATCAGGCATTCTAAAACCTCAATGAAAGTAATCGAGGCATTAAGGGACTTTGAAACCCCAAATAACAGCGTTTTGTTTAGAATGACAAAGATAACTCAATGCAGAGAATTTTACCTGAAAAGGAGCGCTACGCGTAATTAAAATATTATACGATATAACCATGAAGTCTTCCATATAATTCTTTCATATTAAGAAAGGTTTTTATCAAAATTTGAAAGGTTTTTATCGAAATTGACAATTCTTCCCTATATCTAGTACTATTCATACATTAGTATTCCAGAAAATGGTCTGTAACTATCATTCGTCTATGCCCTGTTACAGTGCCCTATTAAACTAAAATTATCTTTCAAACTTAAGACAAAAAAGCAATAGCATATTCTGGTGGTCACATTTCCCTAATTGAAATTAAAATTGAATCTGTATTTTTGTAATTGTACAAGAACATTTGCAAAGAATAAGAACTGAGTTTCTTGACAGTTCTTCTTAGCTCTACAAAAGTCTGTAATAGTCTTACAGGAATAAAGATATTTTGATTTGATTCAAATTGAACAAATAATAGAAATACATTCAAAATAGGCAAATATTCAAAATTGTAAAAGCTTCATATTAGTTTCATTTATGTTAATTTTGAAGACCTTAATTTGCGAAACATATCATAAACGAAAGACATAAAAACTCTTTTGTATTTTTGAATTTTGAATGCCTAGTATTCATTTGTTTTATGAATAAAAATATTATTATGGAGATGTGAAAATACCATTACAGCGTTTTTATTTATTTCCACAATTTAAAGCTATGATTTATACAATGTGTTATCAATTTCAGTGCACCATATTTAATGCAAATAAATGGTTAACAGTAAAGTAAACTGCTTCACGGAAGGCACAGATGAAGCATGTGTTACCACCGCAGAGGAATTTGCACAAAGTTGGTTGAAAAGGTTAAATAACTTTACAATTGCGCATACTTATATTGGAGCAGTGTTATGCGGTTTATCGTGAATGTTTTCATTATGCTATAACAATAGTAACACTGTTACATCCATTCTTTCTTCCTTCGTCCATCCATTGTTACTTACAGTTTGTTGAACGTCTAACCAAACTAATATACATATGAAGAAAGAAGTATTGGAAAATCTTTCAAGTATAAGTTATATTATATGAGAGTTAAATAGATGGATAATAATTTCTATACACACATCGTACATACATATAGGCTTAATTATAACATTACATAACAAGTATAACAATCCGGTAAGGGTAAACCTGCATGTGTGTGCTACAGAAAAAAAAAGTTATATTGGATGTAACTTATTTAAAAAAACTTAGGTGCTTAAAAATAGAGATCACTGCATTAATTGCAATCTGTGTGTAACCCTCATGAGTGTCTAGTATCTATCTGTATAAATAATGTTAGTATTTATTGCAGGTACTAAACTGTGTTGTACTTTTTGGTTTAGATTAATAAGTCGGTGTATTATTAAAGAGCAATGTATAAAGTATTAGTCCTTAGGGAAGATGGCATTGAGTGTATTACGAAGCTATATAATGCTTAGAGTTGTAGTGAGCAATTAGTTTCCGTCAGTATCAGTCTGTTTGATATTTAGAGTACAACTAGCTGTACCAGCGATTTAGTCCGCGTGGAATTTAACTTTAATTTTCTAAGATAAAATATTTTTTCTAAAATAAGAGTAGCCTCAGTTACTCCTTATTACATCAGCTATCTGCAAAAAGAGTCCCGTCAAAATCGGTCCAGCCATTTCAGAGATTAGCCGGAACAAACAGACAGACAGGCAAAAATTGTAAAAAATGTTGTTTTGGTGTATGTTTCGTATTTATTCGTTCATATGCATGTAGTAAGAAATAGTTATTTCAGTATTACAAACAGACGTATCAAATTTTATTTATATGTATAGATGTATAGATAAAAAATAGTATTAAGTTCCATTTTCATCCACAATTTGTCACAAACATCCAATTCCAGTAGTGTAATTACAAACTTTTTGGTACCTCATACACGTACATCACGTACTTTTGGTCCCTTGAATTTATTATCCTATAAAATATCCACTAACATACAATTATTGGTGTAGTAAGCACTCTGGTTTTATGGCTCCGTGTTAGAGCAACGTTGGGATACGATCTAGGATGCGATAACTCCTCGGAACCGGTCGAAACCAGTTTTATAGGATAAAAAAATTAACAAGCGGCGAGCACAGATGTTTTAAAATTAACATACTGTTACTAATCATCATTGGAGCGTCGCTATAATGACATTTACACATATTAATCGAAGCATTCGAGCAAAAATGTTCTAACTGCAATGAATGTAAGAAAGTAATGAAAGTAAATATTTCACATGGAATATATTCCATATTCGAGTTGAGATCGTTGCAATTGTATTTACTACACAGATTTAGACTATATCGCGAAAACGTTTGGTTTTTAATTAACATTTATGACTGACTGTTCGGTGATGGAAACATCGAAAGCAAAGCAAATCAATTCGGAAAACGGCGCTAGGATCTCGGTATCGTTGGATTGAAATATACCAAGCTAGATGTGGTCATATCAACTGTTGCATCCACAGAACGTCGACAGTTGATGTTTTAAGATAACAGCATATATTCGATTTTTTTAGATAGCAGCTGCGGTAATGGTATATACAGGGGCTAAGATGAGATGTTTTTTAAAATAATTTTTGGATGCACCAGTGGAGGATGCTAAGATGAGTATGTGGTCAAGTAGTTTAGGCCATCGTGGCAAATTCACCAGGAATTTAACATGATGGACGCTGGCGGGGCACCAGTGGAGGATGCTAAGATGAGTATGAGGTCAAGTAATTTAGGCCATCGTGGCAAATTCACCAGGAATTTAACATGATGGATGCTGGCGGGGCACCAGTGGAGGATGCTAAGATGAGTATGAGGTCAAGTAGTTTAGGCCATCGTGGCAATTTACCAGGAATTTAACATGATGGTTTTCAAGGGCAACCGCGTGGAGGTCAACCTGACATGGTACATTGCTAGTAATGAGTACTATCAATCCGCCTACTACTATCAATTCCCCCGAGAGGAGGGTTATTTTTTTTATTGGATGATAATGGAATGGTGCACCCACCTGCGCTAACAGCCTACGCTGACGGGGCACCAGTGGAGGATGATAAGATGAGTATGAGGTCAAGGCAGTTAGCCCATCTTGATAATTCACCAGGAATTTAACATGATGGTTTCCAGGGGAAAACGCGTGGAGGTCAACCTGACAAGATACATTGCTGGTTATGGAGTTATGACTCCACACTACCAACAATCCCGTTCCCTAGGGGGGAATAATTGTTAGTAATGGGAATTAGTGACCCCACTGCTAGCAATTTTCAGGTACCTTCCATACGGTTCTTGGAAACCAACCTGGTTAATTCATGGAGCTTCCGTTTTAATCTTATCATCTTATCTAAATCTGCCAGAAAAAAGATTTAAATGTCAAATAAAACAGTTCCTTTGCAAAAAAGATTACTATAAAATTGAAGAATTCGTTAACGATAATAATGTTTTTATAGAAAAACTTTAAATCTATAGCACTGACAATATTATCTGATTACATTAATAATGAGTGCGTAGCGACTTCTATGTTGATTATCGCATGCCTCTTACTTGTTATACTGTAATTATTTATATAATAAAAACATCTATTAAAAAGAGCAACACAGAAGTTTCTTGCTCATTCTTCTTGTGATGAATCTGCATTCCAAATGAGTTGTAGAATCAAAATATGACTATTCAAAAGTGCTTGTAATGAGTTTATTTGAATAAAGATTATTTCTATTTCTATTTCATCCTCCACTGGGGCTCTGCCAGCGTATACTGTTAGCACAAATTGGTGCACCGTATTCATCAATAGAAAGACTTCTTACTTACTTAAAACAAAAGTTATTTATTTTTATCTTTAAGTTCCTGTAGTTTTTCCCTTCATCCCACAGTTATAACTAGATAT